TGTGAAAAATACAATTATTAATATTTTGTCTGTCTGTTTGTTTCAGCTAATCTTCAAAACGGCTGGACTAATTTTGTCGGGACTTTCACTGGTAGTTAGCTGATGTTATAAGGAGTAACTTAAGCTACTTTTACTTTAGGAAAAGAATTAGGGTTCCGTGAAAAACAATTAAAATCTATGAAATTGTGAACAAAATCGTATATAGGGACGCATCCGAATGACGCGAGGGTAAGTCGTTAATATTATTTTAATATGTAAGGGGATCCGCGGATAAAAGTTAGTTAATAGTAGGATCAAACTGATATATAAATTATCAGATTTAAAATATTATATTCAATACTTTTAGGGGATATTCATAGATGTATTGCAGTATTTTATCTCGTAAAGCCGTCGAGAATACGTAACAGCAATACGTTTGTTTGAATACAATGCTGGAGCTAATGGCGGACTGACACATTTGGCTGCGCTAACAAATGAGCGCCATATATGGCGAGACAGTTTCATCCAATGATGTTATATACAAAACTAGATTACAACCACTAAGTAACATGCGTTTTGGTAATAGATGGTGACGTCGTAATTCACAAGATTTTTTTATGTAAATAATTATTATTATTGACGTGATTTATTACACGAACTGAAGTATATTGCTGTCTGTATCTCCACTTCTTTTTAATCACGCATCGTATTTAGATACGGTTTTGACTAATAGCAAGAGCGAGAAAAGGTTTGTATAAATGATAATTTGTAAATAATTTGCACTAAATGGCTGAATTATGACGGTATTTTATCAAAAAACTACTGTTACTCGTATGTTAAACCTTAAGGGACACATAAAAAACGTATTAGAAAATAGTAGGTCTTAAAAAGGCCTACGGAAAGTCCATGATAGCATAAGTCTTTCTCCTAGGGTACACTCACTGTTATGTATTTAAAACGTACTTAGGGACGCACCCGAGAAAAGCGAGAGTAATGCCAGATTTCACCAACAACCCATAAGCTACCACCTATGTATGGGATCCCTAACTTAAAAGTCTCCTAAACTAGCCCCTAAATTAAATTTCGTTTTACCATCGTCAGAGCCCGTATTTCTAGTACCTATATTTAGGTGGTATTTTAAAATTTAGGTGACCCCTAACTGTCGGTGAAACAGAAGCTGTCCCCTAACAGCCCCCTAACTATGCTGGTATATGGATCCTCTAAAGGATCCCTTAAACTTAGGTGACGTTGGTGAAATCGGCCATTAAGTCCTTTGCATTACAATAAACGAATATAATAGGTGTACAATGGCACAATATCTGCAAGTCTGCTAGCAGATACAAATATAAAACACCGGTATTTTCAAATAATATAACGCAACAATAAAGAAGTGAGCGTTGTGACATGTTCTTGTCACATGACAATATCTAAATAATATTATTGCGTGACAAAACTAAGATTTGCCTTTTATACAATATTAATTTTTATAACTGGAAATATTTTATATTTCTAATTTAATGTATATGTTTTACTATATTTAGTTGTAAAGTTATAAGAGAAATCTTTATAATAAAAGTGTATATTATGTTGGTTGGTATAAGACCAAATAATTTGTCATAGCTTTGAACATCTATTGAATATAGAAAAGATATATTGTGACTATTTCTCTATAGGTAGGACGATCTGACAGACCATTAGGCTTGCCGGGGGTGGGCACCAGGCTATTTGTATTACGATTTATGAACTGCCCCTGAAACCATCTGTTCTCGCAATCTGGCCCACAGTGTTTGCGATTGGCTTCACTATTTTTACCAGTAATATTGATGGTGAATTGAAAAAATATACGAACAACTAAATATGTTGTAAATAAAAATATAATGAAAATAATTAATAGGTTGAGTCTATATAGCGAAATTAAAGGCTTACTGTATTTTGTGTATCTGTTTACTAATTTACTTATAAAATTAATAATTGAATTTAAAGCCTTATTTCTGTAAAATATGAAACGTTCTTTGTTCACGGTGTCTAATTTAGTAACTAATTTTAATCGACTCACTGAATTAAAATGTACTTCAATTCAGGCTGTTCCATGAGATCAGGTTGTCCATATAAATTCCAAAGAAAAAATTACTCCTTAGCATAAAATAAGTAACTTTAAGATTTAAAAGCAAGTCGGTGTAATTTTTTACTAAACCAAAAGTGTCGGATAAAGTATAAAAGTTACACGTAAAATTTTTAATATTACATCTATAGATTATTTTTTACACAATAAAATCAAGGAGATTTTAAATCTATGTTACATTTATTTTTGAAAATTTAAAATAAATTACATTCTATTACAGCATTCTAACAATGCGATTTCTTAAATGTTAACGCATCACATAAAAACAGCTGAGCAATTTCGTGTGCTATTTACGAAGATGTTATTTTATACTCGGGTTCACATCAAGAATTGTTCTAAGATATCCTATAAACAGAAAGAGTTCTCGTGGGATACGGGATAATAGTCTAATGTACATTCGGCTATTTTGAAGAAACCGCCGAACCAATTTTTATGTTTATAGGGGGCTTTCGTTGGGTTTTAGTGGGTAGTACTGGTTTTGCCGGTGAGTCCCACATAACCACCTGTATGTATGCAGGTGGTATGCCAAAATGCATTTCCCATACATCTTCTGTACTGCTGATCGGTTTTAGCAAAACTTTTATGACCGGCCGCACTACCCTACTATACCGGCCTATATTTATATATATATATATATATATATATATATATATATATAGGCCGACCACCTACTTGACATCAACCCTCTTTGGGAATGCTGTTCTCTAGTTCTCTGCCATCACCCATAAGACGAAATATCATACGTACCTAACCAGTACAGGATCGTTTTATACGACACTTGCAGTATTTTGAAATTTGTTTTTTTTTAGTTGTCGTGACGTTTCAATATCCAATTTTAATTTACTTGGTTAATAAAACAGTATAAGTTGCTGTCAACCCATAATGTGCACATACTGAACGCAACTCTACCTCACTTTTAAATGCCAGCCACAACTTTATTTATTATAACTACTTATTAATTGCACGCTGTTAGGCATGACTTAATAGTCGAAGAGCTCCTTTTATTTCTTTTAATGAGCACATATTCGGGCATATTCCCATATTGTTTTCTCTTTCCAAAACTTATGATCCCCTCAATATGAGAAAGTTTGAAGACATTTTTATAGTATTCTTAAAAGTTTAAAGTTTATTTTTTATATACATATTTTAAATAAATTTTGTACTCATTTCTATTTCGACATAATACGTTATATATTGGTTATATTCTTGATAGCTACTGTAATAAATATATAAACAATTTTGACATACTTAAATATTTTGAGACCTAAATAAAACTATTTATTTGCTTGTATATGTCAAATACATACAAAAAATAATAGTTAATATATTTAGTTTCGTCTATGATAAACGGCTTAAGTTTGGAATTTTCACAGCATAAACTTTGATACTCACGAATAGATTTCCTTGCAGATGCACAATGATTTATGATAGAAAGCTTCAATTCATATATTAGCTCTAAATTACAACTTTAACCTACAAAACTTGCGACTTCTTCTAAGTTTAATTATATGACAAGTTTAAGTCTGACTGCACCGAAATTTGGTACCAACTCCTTCTCCACACCACATCACCAATATAATACGTTTTGATATGTTTTGATTTACCTAATTTGTGAGGACAAAAATAAAATATTGACATTATAATATTTAACGATGAAAATTACACTAATATTACTGAATAAATAATTTTAAGTAAATTAACAATAATAATGATTTAACTAATTATCCCGAATTGACAACCTTGTTCTGGTTTAAAAGATGGAAACAAGTTAACGTAGGGACATAGTATAATCCCCCCGATGCATAATCACCTTGTAGTGGTGAGGGGGCTCATTAGCTATCGGCAATCCAGCCGGGCATGAAACCAAGAATCGCACTTAGGAGGAAGCTCATTTCGGTGGGGGCTGTACTACGCAGGTTACTCATGGTACTTGTCTGATGGCAGGGTGGTCCAAGGGAGCAACCCCATAGTTGTTTAGGTCTGCCTCGTCAGGCAAGTCGTCGGGGTGCCGTTCTTGAAAGCGTAAATGACCCTATCAAGATGGGGATGGTTCCGTTGGGTTTTAGTGGATATTACTGGCTCTTCTAACCAATGAGTCCATATAGGTAATTACCTATATGTAGGTATATTAGCTAAGATATTTTGTTTTTTCTATGATTAACTACTTAAAATAGGAATTTTCACAGACATAAACTTTGATGCTCACGAATAGATTTCCTTATGTAAATAGTACGCGTAAATGCATTTCTCAACATATAGCAAGAGTTGCAGCAAAAAACATGCAAAACCTTTAAAATTAGTATTGAACACCTAAATCTCTAAGAAGGTATTCGATATTATTTTATGCCTTCAATAGTAGTTCCAAAGTTCGTAAAAAAGTATGTTACTTAACTCAGACTGGTTCGTTTATGGCTTTTAGATGTAATGTAGGTCTAAGTTATATTCTAGCTACGAAAGTTACATAAAAAAGATTTCTTGCACTTAAATAAAAAATAATGATAGAAATTACAAAGAAATACGTGTAGGTATAGAACTATTACAAAAAAATATTACACACGATAGTTACGAGTAAGTTAATGAACTTAGGAAAATTTATACATGAACATTTTTTTTAGAAGCGAATGATAAATTAGATAAAATACTTGATCGTGTTAAGTTTTTCTTTCTAAAGAAAACTAATAGAGTAACTATGTATAAAAAAATACATAATACTATTATTTAAGTGCAGCATCAAAAACTGAAATATTCTTCAATACAAATAAAAATCATATAATTTTATGAAAACATCAAACTAAACTTTAGTATTCAATGACACTCATGAAGACGACTGTACACAAATTGTATAAGAAAAATTTAATAAATTTAGTTTAAATGACCTATAAATTCAGAGATATAGAAAATGAATAAAGTTTATGCCAAAGTGGTAAGTCTAGACACTTTTGAGCTCGTTTCTACTTCACAAACTTAGCTCCCCATGTCAGCTGTTAAAATATATTCATTTCAGAAAATGTTTTCGTATGAAATAGGCTGTTTGTAAAATTTTTATGATATTGTTAAAAAATATGCATTAAACTATACTAAATAATTTTTACGTAACCTTTTAATAAAATAAGCAGTCCTTAATCCTCATATTTCATTAATAACTGATGAAAACCAGCTGCTAGCAACATTCTTTTTTATTTCTTGAGATGAAAATAATTGTTACGGAATGAATGAAATATTTGATCAAAAATGATAAAAAATCGATCTTATATTATATGTAAGCAAATAAAAAAAGAATGATCCTGTTACTAGTTTCGGAGTAATGCGTGGACAAACATGCATACATATACCTATAAAAATATATTTGTTTGGAAATCCTAATAGATTATCTATCATATTGTGAAAGTTTTGCAGCTCCAATAAAATTACATACATACGTGTCGAACTGTTAACTTTTACTAATACAACTGCTAATTGATTATAATCAATACCATGCGGTATCTTTTACTAGAAACAGGTTATAAGTTAAATTATAAATAGTTTTCTAATTTTATAGCTTACTCGGGACTCACCTTCGCTTCGCTCGGTTTCGTCCCTAATTACGTTTTAACGCTTAGTATAGATTTCTAAGAGATGAGATGTTTTCCCAGAGTAAAAAATATCCTATACGTTGACCCGGATAACCAGCTATCATTATACCCAACTTCATCGAAATCTGTACAGTTAGATAGACAGACAGACTGACGAATGGACAGACAAACAGATAGACAGACAAAAAATCTAAAAACTGTAGATTCAGCTTCTGTATAGATAATTATGACTAAATTACAATAAGATTTTTATAAAAATATTAATTGTACAGATTCGACAGAATTTTATTACAGTATATATAGAAGTCTAAATAATAATTATTATGGAATTTGATATTTAATTATACATTGTTTTTTATACTTGTAATTACTTCTTATACAAGTGATACTTAAAATATTTAAATTATTATTGGTCTAATTGTATTAATCGTTTTATAATCAAGTAAATGGTTGTTTATCAAAAACAATGTTTGGTTTTTAAAAAGTATAATTAACAAGTTTATTTTGTACTTAATTAACATCGATATACAATTACGTTGAAAGAAAAAGAAATGAAACAATGGATCACTTAGAAGAAACTTTCTAACAATATATTTATTTTTTCAGGTCGTTTTGCCGTCGATAGAAAATAAAAGAATTCATTCCATTGTATCAATAATTTTACCATTTTATACTTAAGCTAAGGGCATTGCTAAGGTTTTTTATAGAAATGTATGTTTATAATGGTAGGTATTTTAAGTATCAGCTTAATTTAAAAGCGGTGCTGACGAAATCATGAGCATGTTCGTTAGAACATTAACATGTAAATGTTAATGGAGTACTTATATATTAAAACTATTTACAATTCAACTACTTAGTATACAGATGGACAGAACTGTTTATAGAAATACTCGTATATACATACTTCATTAAATATATCTTTTTTCTTTTTCTATATTCTGCGGGAAAAATCGCAAATAAAAAAAATCTTCTCTTTATCCTTATCCCACGTTATGTGGGGTCGACATGACCCGTCACGTTGTTTCCATATTCCATTTCATACACATATCTTCTTTCGCACAATCCATCCGTACCTTTCTCGTTCTATCTCTACTGCTGTATCCGTGAAAATCCATACTTAATTATTCCTTTGCTCATTTTAGTTTTTCTCTCTTCATGATACCAGATACGTTCATACTACGCTAAGTGCTAACCTATTAACTCCTAAACTTCTCTGTCACTTGTGCTTTAAAACTACCATTAATAGTAGGGGAGCCCAAGAGGGGATTTTCTGTAGTTACTCGAGCGCGGCAGATTAACATAAAAGAGGTTACCTTGCACTCTATTGAGTACTTTCACCATAATATAAGTCTTCTATATAAAGGGGCGCGTCTAGGGAAGCCGATTAAAATATTTGTTAATATTTGGATATCAAAATATATTATAGTTTATGATTTGCTTAATCTATCTTTTAGAATATAATTTTGTTATCTGTGGTATCTATATTCTATGGTAATATATGTAAAAAAAAAGTAACTTTTGCCAACGATCTCAACGTTTTTTATTAGGTTATGGGCCCAGTCCCTTAGTTTTTCGCAAAAGTAATAGGTAGATTGTTAGTATTTTCTTGTTTTGTGCTTAAAAAAATGAGTAATTTTCTTGCGAACGTGCCGAAGTTAAAAGGCCGAGAAAACTATGACGATTGGGCGTTCGCGGTAGAAAATTTGCTGATACTCGAAGGCGTGGACAAGTATCTGAAGCAAGAAACTCCTGGCGCTGCTGAAGTAGCAGATGCGGCAGATATAAAAGCACGAGCAAAAGTGATTTTGACGATTGATTCATCGTTATTTGTGCACATAAAGCATGCAAAGACCACGCGGGAATTATGGACAACGCTGAAGTCTTTATTTGACGATTCAGGTTTTTCAAGGCGGATAACTTTGCTTCGTCATTTAATATCGATCAGATTAGAAAACTGTGAAAATATGACGAATTATGTGACACAAATAGTGGAAACTTCGCAAAGATTAACCGGTACGGGTTTTGCAATCAATGATGAATGGGTTGGTTCCTTGATGTTGGCTGGTTTACCAGAACGATTCATGCCAATGATCATGGCTATTGAGCACTCAGGAATTCCAATAACGGCTGATTCGATTAAAACCAAACTATTGGATATGCAATCTGTTGACTTGAGTGAAACGGAATGCAACTCGGCATTAGTTGCTAAAAGTTGGTGCAAAAATAAAAATGGCAACACTAGCAAGCAAGGATCACAGACTACACAAAGACAAACGTCAAAATCAAATATCAAGAACAAGAAATTAATAACATGTTACAAATGCAAGGAAGCCGGTCATTATCGTAATCAATGTCCACTTTTACATGAAATCGCAGATAAGAAAAAACAGAATAATTTCAACGTTGTTTTTCTTAGCGGGAATTTTAATAAAAGTGATTGGTACGTGGATTCCGGAGCCAGTTTGCATATGACTGCGAATAAGGATTGGATAAAAAATCCGCTGTATTTATCAAATTTACCAGACATTATTATTGCAAATAAAGAAAAAGTTCCTGTTTTATGTTCGGGAGACGTGGAGCTCGTCACGAGTCACGATTACGAGGTTAACGTGAAAAATGTACTTTGTGTACCAAGTCTTACAACTAACCTCCTATCAGTCAGTGAATTGATAAAGAATGAAAACAGTGTCGTCTTCGAGCCTGACAAATGCCTTATAAGAAATAAATCAGGTGATTTAATAGCAGAGGCCAACCTTATTGATGGTGTTTACAAGTTGGAATTAAGAACAACTAAAAGCTGTTTACTATCTCAGTCATCTGTTGATGGTGACACATGGCACAGGCGCTTAGGACATTTAAATAGCAATTATATGAACAAAATGAAACGTGGATTGGTTCAAGGAATGGATTATCCTGACACATTTGTGACTAATAAATTGAACTGTGAGATTTGTTGTGAAGGAAAACAAGCAAGATTGCTCTTCCCCAAGGGTACAAGAGCCACAGAGACACTTCAAATCATCCATTCTAACATATGTGGTCCCATGGAGTGTAATTCCATTGGTAATGCCAGATATTTTCTACTGTTCATAGATGATTTTACCTGAATGAGTTTCATTTATTTCCTCAAAGCTAAAAGTGAAGTTTTAAGTTATTTTAAAGATTTCAAAGTGATGGTAGAAAATATTCAAAACAAGAAAATCAAAATCTTGAGGACTGACAATGGGTGCGAATACTGTAGCAAAGATTTTGAAGATTTCTTGAAAAGTGAAGGCATAGTACACCAGAAGACTAACCCCTACACACCAGAACAAAATGGACTTAGTGAGAGATCAAACAGAACCATTGTTGAGAGGGCAAGATGTCTATTGTTTGAAGCTGGTTTAAATAAAAAGTTTTGGGCGGAAGCTGCTAATACTGCAGTTTACTTAAAAAATAGATCAGTATCTTCAGGCATTGAAAAGACTCCATATGACCCAATCTAGAGCACATAAGAATATTTGGTAGTCCAGTTTTAAAGATATAGTTGTTACAGACAGCCTACCCACAATTAAGATAGTTTTATTTAATAATGTCAAGGGTTATAGAATCTATGATCCAGTGAAGAATCTAGTGACAACTAGTAGAGATGTAGTGATTCTAGAAAAGAAAAGGAATCGAGACACAGTAATGGAAGAATCTGTGGTTAAATTAGAACCTTTTGAGTCCAGCTCTAGTGAATCAGACTACCGAGATGTTGAAGAAGAGAATGTAGATCCCATAGCTAAAGAACAGCAAGATAAGTAATAATAGATAAATGCAAAAACGACAGAGGAAGCAACCTGAACGGTATGGATATGCTAATATATGCACAATGGAATGTCATATGCAGAGGCTATCAGTGGGCCTGAGAAACAACAGTGGCTGCAGGCGATGGCAGAGGAACTGCGGTCATTCCAAATTCGATTGTGACAACTCAGTGAGATATCGTGCGCGATTAGTAGCTAAAGGTTATACACAAAAAGCCGGTGTGGACTATAAAGAAACTTTTTCCCCAGTTATTAGACAATTATTTGCTTTGAGTGTACAGTTAGATATGGACATTACCCATTTGGATGTTAAAACAGCTTTTCTTAATGGACACCTAAAAGAAAGTATTTTTATGCATTTACCAGAAGGTTTTCCTGTCAGTGATTTAAATAAAGTTTTAAAATTAAAAAAGGTGTTTATGGTTTAAAACAATCCTCACTTGCTTGGTATCAAAGAGTAGAGGAAACATTATGTACATTAGGGTTTACTAAGAGTAAATTAGAGCCTTGTGTTTTTATAAAGAATCATAGTAACCATAAGAAAACTATCGTTGGAATTTATGTTGATGATTTTTTGATATTTTCAAATAGTAAATCTGAATCTGATTATCTGATAGAAGCTTTGAGTCAAAAATTTCAAATAAAGAATCTAGGCCAAGTCAAACAATATTTAGGTATGAGAGTTCACATTGATAAAAATTCAAATGTAATTACAGTAAATCAAGAGCATTATATAGAACATTTATTAAAAAAATTTAATATGCTTGATTGTAATACAGCTGAAACTCCTATTGAATGTAAACTAAATCTTGAGAAATCAAATATTTGTGTAGAGAATTTACCTTATCAAAAATTAATAGGTAGCTTAATGTATTTGGCTGTATTAACTCGACCGGATATATCCTATTCAGTCAGTTATTTAAGTCAATTTAACAATTGTTATTCATATACTCACTGGAATTATGCTAAAAGAATCTTAAAGTATTTGTTAAAAACAAAAGATTATTGTCTGAAATATTCCAAAGAAAAAGCAGAACAAGTGATGCCATTGACAGACGGTCTTACACGGGATTTTGCTTTATCAAATCTGGCTCTGCTATTTCTTGGGAAAGCCGAAAACAAAGAACCATAGCATTAAGCAGTTGTGAAGCTGAATTCATGGCTTTGTCAGAAGCCTGTCGCGAAGCTATTTATTTACAGAACCTAGAATTAGAAATAACAGGTATTTGTAATAAGATTGTATTATACAATGACAGTCAGAGTGCATTGAAGTTAGCAAATAATCATCAGTCTCACAAACGTTCTAAGCATAGCCAACTGGTAACATGCCCGCTGACTTACTAACTAAAGGTTTATCCGGCACTAAACATTACAGGTTTATGAATATGATTGGGATTGTTAAAAATGACTTTATTGTTACATCTTAAACAACATAAGTTTTTTGTTTGCTTTGTAATTGATATAGTGCTGGGATTAATATGTAATTTTGATATAGTGGGGGTGTTAATATTTGGATATCAAATATATTATAGTTTATGGTGGTATCTATATTCTATGGTAATATATGTAAAAAAAAAAGTAACTTTTGCCAACGATCTCAACGTTTTTTATTAATATTTAAAAAATGTTTTGATAAGGTAGAAAGGTGTGGTAGGCTAGTCACATCCTGAAAAGTGTCCAATTCAATAATCTGCCGATTTGCACAAGCCGAAGAGGCAAAAATCGATTATAAAGTTTATGATGATTTTTGCCTCTTAGGCTTGTGCAAATCAGCAGATTATTAAATTGGACACTTTTCAGGATGTGACTAGCCTACCACACCTTAATCTGACGGTTTCAAGTATTTTTACCTTATCAAAACATTTTTTAAATATTTTAATCGGCTTCCCTAGACGCGCCCCTTTATATAGAAGACTTATATTGTGGTGAAAGTACTCAATAGAGTGCAAGGTAACCTCTTTTATGTTAATCTGCCGCGCTCGAGTAACTACAGAAAATCCCCTCTTGGGCTCCCCTACTATAATATATTCTTTCAGCATTCTTAACCATCACATAGGTAAATGTAAAAACTACTTTTATCATATAAATCATCTTAAATCTTGACCACAAGTTTTTGATGTTATACTTCTTTTGGCACGTTTGGAAAAAAATATGAGAGTAAAATTTTTGCGATGCGCACGCACACCGACAGCCAAAAAGCGACATGATGAAGTTAGCTGCATTCCTTTTACAAACAGAGTTGTGACATACGGGATGAAATCTTTAGCTATTTTTGTTCTGTTACGCCAAAGAACTATAACTTCTTGCATGCGTACATAAGTTCACACACACACGTTTTGTTTTAAATAGTCAATTGTTATTTAAGTAGTGTATGTAGTCAATTATTAAAATTCTAACTAAATAAATTAATGTCAAAGTTAAAAAATATCACGTCCTTTAATGTATTGGTAGTTAGTTACATGCGAGCGCACATCAGGCGCACTGTGACCGCAATGAATAATGCTAACATTTTTCATTGAGAGTGTATTTGATTTTAAAATTACGCTTTTGCTATATTTTAATATTGCATACATGTGTCGCTATGAAAATAGAATATTTAAATTGCTTTAGTTCATAATTTTAAAATATAGCGTTGCTGTGTTGCATAATTAAATCACTATATTTAATCCATTGACAAAATTTAGTTTGACGGAAGCATTATTAATCAGATTTACATAGGCATTTTTTTTAATAATTAGGTAACATGATTGGCATTGATTGTGGATGATTTTAAAACATTAAAATTAGTATTATGCCTTTGAGATTAATAATTGTAGCTATTTCATGAATATATAATCGTAAACATTTTATTTAATTTTACATGTTGTCTTAATAAGTTTTTGCAGTAACATTCAATTGACAACCCAAATCACTTGGGGTCGGCGCAGTACAATTTTTTATTTTTTATTCAATTGACAAGTATTTTCATATATAAATATTTTACTATGATTTAGTAATTTTTTCTAGACTTTTGTTATACCACCTTATTTAAATAATGTCCTTCATATATCAACATATTTTCCAAGTTTTTAGTTCCATAAAGAAAAATGAAGTTTTCACGCGTCATTAACATAATACTGCTCTATTTTATCAAAATTAATCTCCTGTTACAAGTTTATGAAAATATATTAAAAAGATTTATTCTTTATGAAACTATTTTCATATTTAAAACTTACAAGATCTTATAAGTACTAAATATTGTTTTATATATTATTAATATTGATTAAATTATAGTTCATCATGCTGGCCAAATGCGGGTTGGCGGTCTTTACAAAACTAGTTTGAATGTATTTATTCACCGTAAGCCAAATGGTAATCATGTTGAAATCCATATAATATGAATTCATAGATGTGCGAAACACGGGATTGAACCTGCTTTCCTTGGTTTTCTCATCGAGTGCTTTAGCATTTTCCTATCACAGCCTTAAGGGATTCATAGGAATGGTTAAAAATTCATCAGTCTATAGATGGGTAAACTATTCGTACGGGTCCTTAAAAAATCCACTCCTAAACAAAAGGGACGTGGCTATGTATAGGAAAAACTGTTTCGGGTATCATATAAAAAATGACCTAGTGACTCTGTATACGTAACAGCATCAAATTCATACCTTTGATGGAGCTTTGATCGATTTTCACAAATAGCAATCAAATGGTGTGAAACTAATTACGTCATTAATCTACGCATATTGACAAGATGTTCAATTCTAGTGTTTGTTTCATGAATATTAATTATTATCTTATTAAATATAATGGTTCAAATATAATGTTTTAAATAATTCTTTATTATCAACTAGCTATTACTTGTTACTTCGCTCGCAAAAGTAAAGTCGTATATTTCCAGTTATCACTGAAAAACCCAATTTGGTTTGTAAACCGATTAAAATAAATTAATCTAATAAAACAAAAAAATAAATAAATAAGTGGAATCTGCTCTGAGATTCCTTTAAATTCTACAATATATTTACTCGTATTTCGATAAATCCTTTTGAAGGTGGTCTTTACTTTGTGTAATTGATAAATAGTCGATAAGTATATGAAATAACGGTGAAAGGTCATATATTGCGAAATTCACAAAGAGATTCGAAAGAAAAATCTTTTTGATCACAGCTTGCCTAAGGCTAAGGAATTGAAATTGATATGTTGATACTCAATATGCAAAAAATATTCAATATATTCAGTGTTTGGAATTTTTACGTGATTAATTTTCTTTCAATGCCACTGAATATATGTATAGACACTAGTCGTTTCCATGGTGCTGCTACATTTATTTATTACCCTTATTTTTACATATTAATTACTTTAAGCCTCTTTTGGAAATAAAGTTATTAAAAAGTCCAAATTATTGCACCCATATTCCAATGAATTTTATGTTAAGAAAAACATTTATTGTAAAGTTACATATTTATTCTGTTCTATTAATCGCATATATTTTGCATATATTTCTTAACCTTTGCTCGTCTGTATATATATTATAAATATATATTATATATTATAAATATTATAAACTGTTTGTTACTCTTTCACGCCAGAACAGCTGAATGGATCTGATGGATGAAAAAAATACCAATCGAATTGAGAATCTCCTACTTTTTGAAGTTTGTTAAAACAACGTTAATTATTCTATTTAATAGACTATATAAATTTACAACTAAATTAATATTCCTACTTGGCTGGTTTATTTAGGTCGTTAACACTGTCTTTACACATAAATGATTTAATTCCTTCCTTCAATATATTTTGTAGAAATATTGTAATGTCTAATATTTTTGGAATAACAGAAATTAAATCAAAGGTTTCTAAATATTTTTCCGTCAGTTAGTTTAACTCAATCATCGAACTAATCTCTCGATCTTTTATGTTATATATTAAAAATCTTTTTAATACTTGATAATTAAAATCCCAATAAAATTAATTAATATACTTATTTAGATAATGCTTATTTATTCTAAAATATAT